GGCTCTGCCCGAGGAGTTGGGCCGCGCGGCCGCAGGCGGCAACGGGGCGCGCCCCAGGGGTCAGGCCCCGGGCCAGAGTACACAGCGTGCGCCGGGGCAGGAACCGGCTCAGGCTCCGCAGGCATTCCATGGCGTTGGAGCGAGCGGGAGGGGGCAGCAACACCCCAGCCCTTCATGCCGCGCGGTGGCTGGCCCGGCGGCGGCGGCGGCAACGACGCGACCCCGCGCGGGTGCTTGAGCTGCGACCGCTCCGTACTGAGCATGCGCGGGGCGTGCCGCGCCTGCGTCTCCTCTCCCGCGCATGCTCGGAAGATGCCTTTGGGGCGCGCTCCTTGCGTCCCGTGGCCAATCGGAGGTCGCGTCTCGTACCTGGAACGTGCGGGGGGCCGGGCTTGGGCTGGTGGGCGGGGCGCGTTTACCAGCGCGGCGCGAGCCGTCGAACCCGGGTCCTTGCGGCATTGGAGCGGTTAACCCGGAGCGTAAAGGGTTATTGTTCTAGGTAACTAGGCATGTGAAGAAATACCCGGCTTGTGTATAATGCTTTGCAGTTTCTGGCGCGCTTTCATACATATGATAAAATGCGTATATTTGGAAGTGAGGAAGTTATGCCCATTCGTAACTCAATTTATATTTAAATTTATTGTAGCAGAAATAATTAACTGTCCTATGGAATGATGTACTACTGCGTGTGAAGATTGAGGAACGTAAACCCACAAGATTTACACCGTGTATTTAATCAATTGTAAGATAGTGTCAATTTCAAGGAATCATTACTTTATATACCACCAAGAAAGAAAAAAAATTATGCTTTCTAATTATATCATTTCAAGACTTATCCCAATTTCAGTCTTTAAAATACGAAAAAGGGTGGGTTTTAGAAGTGATTAAATACAGTATATATGCATATCTTTAAGAGAGTTAATAGACTTGTCCCTTCTACAGTAGTAATAGAAGACAGACATGAGTTTCACAGATTGCCATTCAGTCACTGTGTATAAACACAGCTAAGGAAACACAACAGAGAGCTTTCTTTTCTTTTCTTTCTTTCTTTCTTTTTTTTTTTTTTCTGTAGGGTATTGAGAATGAAGCTGAATTAGGAAGCCAGCACAGAAGAGAGGATGTTTAACTTTAGCATTGAGGGCAAAGGAAAACATCAAGCATTAAAATCTGGAAAGAACGTACCTGGTAGATTTTTCATTTTATTAACAGCTTCAGTGTTGAAGCTTCCAAAAACATGCCTTCAGAGACCTTTCTTTGAGACAGCATGGTAATTCTTTCTAAAAAAATTGACCCCAGCTCAATGAGACAGCTCTGTTTAAGATATCCTTGCAAAGTCTTAGAAAAGCTCTGGGACATGGCCAGACACATCACCTTGCAATTCATGTCAAGGATTTGGAATTTAATCTGGGAAGGGTAGGAGCCATGGGGGGACTTCAATGAACAGAGAGGTAATGATCTGATGTATGTTTAAATGGGTCATTCTGCTGCGTGGGGAAGAGATTACAGAGAGATAAGTGTAGAGACAGAGAGATAGTGATGATGGTGTGTGCCAAGGTAGGTGATGGAGAAGGGGAGACAGGGTGAGCTTGCTGCTATATATTCAAGACTGAATTGACAAGATTTGCAAGAGTGATGTAAGTAAAGAGGCATAGAAGTTGACTCCAAAATATTTTGCCTAAATAACTGCGCAATCGTTGTGCCATCTACTGAGAGGGAATTTTAGAATGGAAGAAGTTTAGTTGGAGATCATGTTATGGGATGGCATTTGTTTCTGGACATGCTGAATTTGGAATCTCTATTAAATAGATATCTAAGCAGGGATATCAAGCAGTCGAGTTTGGGGGAGACATTGGTGTAAGACATATATATTGGGGGCTATAGAGAGGTATTTAAAGCCATAGGGCAGGGTAAGATCTCTTAGGAAGTGAGACAGCAAAGAGAAAAGTTCTTATGATTGAACTCTAGATCCTCTAGCATTTAATGGTTAAGGACAAGAGATGGATCCAACGGAAGAATATGAAAAGGGGTGACCAGGAAGGAGGAATAAAATCAGAGGGTGGAATCCTTGAAGCGAAGTGAAGAAAGTATTTCAGGAATGAGGAAGTGCTCAATTATGTCAAACGCTACTGACACATAAGATGAGAAATGAGAATTGCCTATGTTGGAAGTGACACTTTGGAGTTTCCTGGTGAACACGATAGGAGCAATTTCCTTAGAGTGGTAGGGAATGGGATCTGATTGTCATCTTCCATGGCCCAAGCTATGACAGGATCCCAGAAGATTTCTGCACCTGTATAACAATTTAGCCTTCAGGTTCTTTAATCTCTTTCCTTAGCTCTGGAGCTCCAAAGCATGTCAGTTACCTTGACCCAGCCTCACGCACTGGACTGTGTTCTCACCCAGAACTATTTCGTGTCTGAAATCTTATACCAATAATACACTCTCTGACCCTAACCTCCTGGAGGCTTTATACCCACAACAATTATATTCTCCCATCAGACCCTTGCCAACTTTTCTCCCTTCTCTACCTAGCCCAGATTATGTAACTTACGATCTGAAACCACTATGACTAGTACTCGGAACACATGGCATTCATGGGGTGTAATCATAGAAGCCACTTTATTTTTGTTCCTCCAAACCTGCTGAGTGGGGCTAGTCCTCTGGCCTCTTAAAAAACTTGGGTAGGTTCCATGACTTTCCTGGTCTCTCAGTCCTATGTTAGCTCCGGCATCAATTCAGTAACTGAAAATGTCCACTCCATACACTATTTTCAATTCAATAATTTGCAGTGTCAGACCCTGTGTACTAATCACCGCTGCAGTACTAATTCAAAGAAAAGACTTGATTCCTCTCTTCTTGTTGAGCTTGGAGGCAAAGAAGAATTTTTGGTGTGGATAAGGTCCCAGACAACTCCCCCAATCCCTTCCCACTCCATTTCTCACTCTGTGGCTGCCATTTCCGACTTTGCTGGGGGCAGTGAAGCCAAGTAAGAATGAATGGAATATTTTTACCAAAAGATGGCATCGTGTTCTCTATAGGCAGGGCAGGTTTTAAAGCTGACCTCTTTGTGGGCTGGTCCAGGGTTCTCTGGAAGACCTACCCCTCCCCCCAGGCCTATCTGGTTGCCATTTTTTTGATATGAACAGTGACCCTCCTGATCATTTACAGATTCTGCCTCTTGCCTCAAATGACCAGGTTTCTCTCTTCCCCACATGCTGCTCTTTTGGGCAGGATCCTTTAAAAAACAACCCAGACTGATTTTTCCCACTGTCACATCTGCCCCATTAGAGGGAACACAGTTACTTCCCTGGCATAGAGCTGCTATCTATCCCCTGCTTAGGTATGAGCCTGGGGCCTTTTTAAGCCCTTGGAGGGATCTTAAAAAGTTCCTCTCACTAGACTTGAGGTGAGTGGCAAGCACTCCACTTACCCTCTTTCTGGAAGCTTTTTAAAATCTTCCATACAGGGAGGTCAGGGACAGCCTTTCTCAGGCAATGACACTTCAGTTGAGACTGGGATGCATAAGCATTAGCAACATGCCAGTGAGGGACTAAGAAAAATGCCCAACGAGGTAAAAAAATGGGTGGGAAGACCAGTGTTATTTGGCCATTGGAAGAACTGCCAGAGATGACCTTGTCTGGAACATGGTGTTTCAGTGGGTCTAGGGGAGGCCAGAGTGGCAGGCGAGAACTGGGCTTTAGACAAGTTAAAGAGTTTTGATTTCATTCTTTGAGAAATGGGGAAACTATCAAAGGGTTTTAAACAAGGGAAAGGATTCCATTTTCATATGGATGGATGGATGGATGAATGGATAGATGGATGGATGGATGGATGGATTTAGTAGGCTCCATGCCTAGCTTGGAGCCTGATGTGGGGCTTGATCCATGACCCTGAGATCATGACCTGAGCCAAAATCAAGAGTCAGATGCTTAACCAACTGAGCCACCCAGGCTCCCCTCCACTTTCATTTTTAAATGACCACCCTGGACTGTCTTTGGGGAACAGTGGAAGCAGGAAGACCACTGGGAGGCTTCTGCAGGCATCTTTACAAGACTTGATGGGCTGCTGGGTGAGGGCAGGGAAGAGGTTATGGAGAGGGAAGACTGGAGAGATAGATGGAAGTAGGGTGGTAGGACTTGGTGATGGGTAAGAAGGAGAAGGCACACTAGTCTGCGAGGGCTGCCATAACAAAATTTCACAGACTGGGTGGCTTAAACCACAGACATTTGTTTTCTGACAGTGCTGGAGTCTAGAAGCCCAGGATCAAGGTGCTGGCAAGTTTGGTTTCTCCTGAGACCTCTGTCCTGGGCTTGCAGAAAATGACCTTTCCCCTGTGCCCCCGCATGGACATTTTCTATACGTGCTCATCCCTGGTCTTTCTCTGTGCGTCCTCATCTCCTCTTCTTGTAAGGACACCTGTTTGATTGCATCAGGACCCGCCCTCCTGACCTCATTTTTATTTAATTAGCTCCTTAAAGGGCCTGTCTCCAAATATAGTTACATTCTGAGGTACTGGGGGTCAGGGCTTCAAAATACAACTTTGGGGACGCAAG